CGATTGCACAAATATTTGTCTGTTCCTTGCGATTTTTGATTGTTCTGAATTTAAAATGCTATATTTTCTCAACACGTGTTTCTTTACAAAAAGAATTGCGTAATTTTTTAAGAAAGGTTTTACAATGTTTCACACTTATTCTGAACTTCCCATTTCACGACAGAGCGCAGGTGTCTGCTCTTACCAGGAAGTAAGGTCAGCGTTCGCATGTGTAGGATCTGTGACGCAACACGAAACCGTAGAATGGGGCTCTAAAGGACAAATACGTCATATGTTTGCTACCCCCTCCGAATGATGGTCAGGGCTGCAGTTAGAAAACAAAACGAATTTTTTGAGCGCTTTTATTCTTCATTTTTATTTTCCTGTCGTGAACGCCCTCATTAGTTTACCTTGTTGAAATTGAGACAGGCTTTGTCAATGCATTGCGTGGAGTGAATGAACGGAAAGAATAGTTGCCAAAAGTTTGATGAAATCAAATGAAAAATGTTAAAATAAATAAATAAAATGTAACTTTTATGAAAGAAAGGAACTCTTGATTTGAAACATATGGTGGCTAAACAGTGACTTCGTTACGTCCTTTTCCATTAGATTATTTTATTTACCGAAAAGTTTTGAACAGTATAGGCATTTGACGGAAGGCACTAAGAAATGCGTATTCAGTCACTTACGATTTTTTTTCTCAACACAAATCTCAGAAATATGATTTTTAGTCCGAAGGGCATTAGCCCAGAAGGGCTATTAATTTCTTTTCGACATTTTGCTTCGGAAACTTTAAATGTCCGTTTCACTTTTTAAATTGTTGCCACCAAATATTATCGCCCTATACTTATATTAAATAATGAAGATTCTACAAAAATGTATGTATGTTTCTGGTATTGTGATAAAACAATGGTGCCTAGAGCCATCCAATTTTGGATAACGTACGTCTCCGCCCGAATATGGGCATCTGGAAGCCCAAATTTGGAATTTGTTTTATTATCTATTTCATATTTTTAAAAACTTTAACGAATTTTTAATTAAAAAAATCAACGATTTCAAAGTGGGCAATGGCAACACTGTACGGAGGGGGGGGGGGGGATTATCTCCACCGTGCGAGACTGTGTATCGGAAATTGTAAAGATATGCTCACTTTAAAATTATTTTGCGATATCGCTGTTGAACTGAATTTTATGGTTTAAGTGCGAAGAACATGATAGTTAATAAATCAAGGTAACGCACCAAACGTTAGAAAAACGCCCCGTTGGGCGTAATGTAAAATCTTTAAATTATATATATATATATATATATAGCAGAGAATACAGCAGAGAATTTAATTTGTCAGACTGTTCTTTTTCCGGTATTTTGCCATATTAAAATAATTATTTTCATTAAAAATCACACGCAAGTTTTTATAATTGCTCAAAATTTAGGTTTTTAGTTTTTTAACGTTGAAATATTTTAATATCTAAACTAAAGTTCCAATTTTTTTTATGACAATTACTATAATAAAATTAAACTTTAGAACTTGTGTTTAGCTCTTGAGTACTAGATTTTCTGCAAGAATCTGCATGAATGTATATATGTTTCTCGCATTGTAATAAAACAACGGTACCTAGAGCCATCCAATATTGAATAACGTACGTCTCTACCCGAATATGGGCATCTAGAACCCCATATTCTTGGAATTTGTTTTATTATCGATTTAATACTTTGCAAAACTTTAACGAATTTTTAATCGTTAACGAATGCATCAATGATATAAATAGGTGAATAAATGCAGTTTTTTTACATGTTTACCTTTACTAGCAGGATAATCTCAATTAGTGATGACGTTGTCGTGAGCGCAATCTTTCCTGTATTAATTTTTATTATTTTTTAATGCAATGCTTAAATAGCAAGGCGAAATATTAATTCAAGCGAACCTATTCAAGTTTCGAATAAAATCGTTATTAATTCCACAATCCCATGTAAGATGAGGTCCGGTATTTTGAATAATTAAATCTCAATATAACCAAAAAAAAATGTATTCCTAATGCAACACTTCTTATAATAACTTGTAAAACTGTCGAACTGTCTAATGAATGTATTACTGAACTGCAGCTTCTCCTGAAAGAGCAAAATTTCCGGAAAACATAGGCACTTGAGGAGGGAAAAAATCCCCATTTCAAAAAGCTGTCTTTTTAGAAAAATAAATATTTAAAAACTCTAGCTATTTGATCAAGAAGCTTTTAAATGAATCAAAAATCAGAATAAGAAAGGCAATTTTATCTTACCGGCAAAGAATACTATTAAATCTTTGTTTTATCTTAGATGAACCATGTCTAATTATCATTTATTTAGTTACCTTAAATATAATTTTTCAATTTTATTGGATGCATAGCATATTTAATTTATTATGCCTTAAATTACCATTCATTGATGTTAATTCATAAGCAATGAAACAGTTTAAAATATTTTAAGTAACTGATTTTCTTCTCCACTTCTAATAGTCTGCCAAAGCGCACATTTAAGGAATCAAATCTTGGGTAAAGTTGTAAGGTATTTCTCCCGCCTTCTTAGTATGGTGCAGTGGTCAGCACGCTCGACGCGTATTCGAGAGGTCCGTGGTTCGAGTCCCGGCGAGGGCACTGCTCATTTTTCATCACTCTTGCTTCCACAATACCTAATGTCTCTACAAAGTAAAGGCATAATATACATCTAGCCGCTTGTCTTCTTGATTATACTGCGTGAGAATTTTGCAAAAACTACAGTTTTTTATTGCGAAATTTTACTTCTTTTTTTTGGTTTGTTAATTGGTTATGGTAAGGTTGGAGCCTATTCTAAGAGGATACAGCTGCCCTCTTAGAATAGGTTCCTTTCATGGAAACCAGTCTAAAGAAACTCGACATAGTTTTTATTACACATGGGGTGAATAAAAAACTCCAGGTGATCGGCCAGTTCATCAAGATAGCTATAATCATCCCCTCGCTACTGGTAGGTGCTCTTTAAGAGAACTGCATTGATTATCCAAAGCTGGAATATTTAATGTGATGATAAGCATCAAAAATATATTTAAATGTATTAGTTTAAATTAGAATTTCTATTTGGCAGCACAGCATCCGAGTTGAATTTTAAATACACTATCTACAAAAATAAGATTCTCGTGGTTATGTATTTTGTTCTATAACTGTATGAGGTATATTCAGTTTAAGTAACGATTATTTTATTTTTTTAGAATCATCACTGTCACTTCTGTCTTTCCGTTTCCCGCTGGAATGGAAACTAGTTCGCGTGTATTTAAGTGAGGGTTTGAGATTGTTCAGGGGTATCAGCAACCCCTATACCGACAATGTTAAATTGGCCATTTTAGATGTACCTTTTCTCAAAAATCTGCTGCAGATACACACTTGAAATTGTTTGTGTGATTAAAGTATACCTATCAGATTATCCTGAAAGGAGTTTTTGAAACATTTTGAATTTTAGAGTAATTTACAGAATATTTTGTTAGGCATAGCAAAATTTAGCACTTTTCTCACACAAAGAATTAAAAAAATTTTTTTTAGTTTATCACAAAAAGGTCATTTCAGTAAATATTAGGAAACTTAATAAATAAGCCATATAAATTTTAGATAGCTGTGAGCAGTAGTTCTTGAGAAAAGCTACATCGAGTATACAAAAATCACGTTTGGAGAAAAACGCGTTTTTATGTAAAAATCATCATTGATAAAAGCATTCGATGACAAATTAAAACTAGATTTTTTTTACAGTTCCAATTTTCATAGAGATTAAAGAATGGTGTTTTTAGAAAGATAAAAGTATAGATAATTTGAAAATGCAAAAATCCGAAATCACAATTTTTTTAAGGATATTTGGTTCCAACACCTCTTAAGACAGGGCGTGTTCTGCCTTTTGAAGGCACTATACTAGATTCGCTATTCTAAGATCAGAGTTCCTGTCTTCGGCGTTGCATTGTACTTGACGATAGTATAAATTCACGCCGGTGAAATTCAGAACCAGTTTCGCGTAAATTACTCTATGTATCGCGTAAATTATCAGTATGTAGCTATTTAAATTTAACTTTGCATTTGAATTTCTACTTTGAGTTCTCGCCGTTAAGTGCCAGCAGATGTGAAAGCACCGAGTGTGCCTTCTGTTCAGATGAACAGAGCTTCAAATAAAAGGGACTTTTGCACATTTTAAAATTTTCTGTACTTAATTTTAGACTTAGCGATAAGTCGGTTTACGTCTGCCAAAGGTTTGATCACAGTTTACAATAGTGAAAGACTTCACTATTGTAAACCTTACAGCCGTATACAATAAATCAAAACCTATACATCTAAAAGCGTACTAAATAAAAGAAATCAAGGTTTTAAGTGTTACATTGACGATTTTGAGTGAAGTCTGGGCTGTATTTGTGTTATATATTATGATGATTCATAAATTTAGATAGAGTTTAAAACATCATATGAAATCAGAGTGCGGTTTGCCCCTGAAGACTTGTCAGAGAGATGTACTTTTAACATAAGATACATTATAATTTTCAACTTTCACCAAAAGATGGCATATCGTACTTTAAGTATTATAGTAAGAAAAAAAAATATAGGACATTTATTTGTTTGTATTGGAAAACGTACTGCTACTAATAATGTAATAAACCACGAATTTCAGTTGCACATTTTGTTTTAAAGAACTTAAATTTGCACATTTTCGCGATATTAACGACACCATGCGATCTATCAATCAAAATTTGAATTAAAAGGGGTCTTATGGGAAGGGAGGAACAAGCTTCCGTCATAAACCTTGAAAGGCTAACCGCATTCTGATACTGCAATTTATTGATCTCACATTACTTTTCTAAATGTGTTTAAATTTAGAGGGCATTCTGTATATTCTTTTTAATACCGTAAATTGTTATCAGCATTTTATCATCATGTTTATTTATCGTGTTTTACCGACTCCGAAGAACAATAATATATTCTATAACATAACTATTACTCTCAAAATATTTAAGGAATTATTAAGTATTTTTTTATTATTTCCAGGACGAAGAGTAACAACAGTGCGAACTCATGATATCGAAGGCGACCCCATAGAATATGGCATCGAATCTGCTGTTTTCTTGGATGGATCCAGCTATTTTACAATCGACAAGAAAACGGGAGAAGTTTTCGTAGGAAGTCCGCTCATTGGATTGGTATGTTTTATTTGTTATTATAAGTACGATGAACATTAATAACCATTTTTTATCACTATTCTTTACTCACACAAACTTTAATGATCCTTAAAGTTTAAACTTTCCTGTGGAACTTGATCAAGAAAGCAAGTTCCAAATTTAGTATCATAGATTTAAAATAATTAACTTACGTTATCTTCCTCTTTTTATTTTCTTTTTTTAAAGTTTAATTCTGAACAGGCTGCAGAATTTAGAGGCGGCAAAACTTTTAGAGTTTAGGAAGAAACCGAGCAGTAGAACTTAAGACGTCGCCCAGTTTGCACGGGGCGGCGAAAAGCCTAGCTTCCGCCCTGATCCTGAATATACAATATCATTGAGTTTTATCTCTTCATTCACTGGTCATAGTGTTAGTAGACAGGGTTTCCCAATCCTATGCCCGCGGGCACTATGGCGCCCGCCGATCATTTAGCGTGTTCCTGCCGCTGTGCGATCACAATAAAAATGTTTTAGTTTTCAATAGAATTCTATGTGATTTGTTTCTCATTTTTAATGAAATAGAAATTACATCCAACACAGATACCTGCGCAAAGCGAAATGTTACCGATCTCTTTTTTTTTTTATGTGCATGTATTATTAACTCTATCCAACTATAAATTCACCTTGAAGAAGTAAATGGTGCCCGTCGTCCAACACATATTCTAGAATCTGCTCTTAGGTTTCGTTCAGATGGTGTTATAGATGTCACAGAGGCATAAAATGCGGGAGTCCCGTTCACACCTGCGATACAGGTTCTAAGCCATAACCAGTAACAGAAACTAAATTTGCGCTTGCGTGGATTGTGTCTACAGCTTTTCCTCTTTGTTTGCCCGCTCAATTGGTTTCGTGCGTTTGCTCTGATTGGTCGACTCTTATACCAAGTCTGTATAAAGTTGAAAACTTCGAACTTTATACCAAAAGCCCTAAACCAGTTTTCGTGACGTAACAAGGCCTGGTCACCTAGCAACAAAGCTCGGATTAAACCAGTTATGACATTTATGCCACCGTCTGAACGGAGCGGACGAAAGGGTTGGGGATCCTTGACCTAGATCAGCGGTTATCAACCTTTTGACTAACGCGTACTATCTAAACAAAAATTGAAAACCTTTAGTACCACCACTACAAAGTACTACTACCACCACCATTCTTGAACAAAGCTCTGATCGCATAAATTTACGAGTGTTGAGAGAAAAAACTCAATCAGGATGATGGGGTTTTAATTTTTGAATTTAATAGTTAAAAATACTTTGCTTCTTTGCGTACCACCTATTTTTCTCTTGCGTACCACCGGTCAAGAACCCCTGACCTAGATGATATACGACGTATGCAGGAAAGCGTTGAATTGGCGAAAGAGAAGGAAAGACTACCTTTATGAATTTCGGATACTCCCCAAATCCTTTGTGTCTTCTTTGAAGGGTTATATCAAAGAAAAGCAGAACCTTTTATACCTACCAACAAATTTCCTTTTTGTTCCAATGGCCGGCTCTAGCCTTTTATAGGCACTGGCCACTAAAGGCCGGAAGCGGTGGCCTCTTTATTATGGAGGCACCTAATATGTGGGCCGCCGTTGCCTCCTATAAAAAGACGGACAAATTACATCCATGCCTTCTCCGGGATTCAAACCTGGGCCCTTCGGTACGGCAGTCAGACTCACTAACCACTTTCCTGTGTGGGTGGTACGTTCTTTTTATTATCTCAACTATTAGCCTTTGTATTTTGATGTTAAAATGATACAGCAACCTCGAACTTCAGAAAATAATCACTTAATAGGTTGAAATACATTATTAAAATGCCATCCAGACGTAATAAAAAACTCGCCTCTTTAATCATTCGATTCTGTTATCAGATATTAATTTTGAGTACCAAATCTGTTATTCGTTAAAAAAAGGAAAGTTCAACGCCACCCATACCTCCGCCAGAAGCCATAAATTACACAACGTGCCCATGCGCTGACAGAGACGTGCGTTAGTAGCCAGTATCACCCTTCCTTTACTACTATTCCCATCTGAACTGTTCGTGCAACTTTAATTACACAGTCCATTGACCTGGATGAACATAAATTTACCACTCGTTTTGGTTCTAGTGGGAATTTCGTGATTCTGTATTTTGGGTCTTTTATTTAATGACAGGTAGGAATTTTTCGAAACGTCTGCTAGGGGTAGGGTCGTTCACAAGAAAGAAAAGACATCTCTCTTCAGTAACGGCTGAAATTTAGTTTTATTTATTTTTAAGCCTTTTTTTTTTAAATCTGCATTGTTTTGTGTTATCAGAAACATCAAGTAGTTAAGATAGTACGCTTGTTATGCATTGCAGTCAACTCTCGATTATCCGATGCATTACCTCTATGGTTAACTTAAGAGTCATGGTTAATTCAGAGGAAGTTGAAAGAAAACATAGGAAAAATGATCATATTATAATTAATAAAAAATTAATGCTATAAGTAATTTGTAATTTCAAGAAGTGTAATCTGGGAAATAAGTTTTCATTTGATTGCATAAATTAAATCTTCGACAATTTTTATGACGATTTAAGACGGTTTTCATGACGAGAGAAAGGGGAGGTAAATTTTATTCCCGTTAAATTACCCACTTTGCAGCGTTGCTACCTTGTGCACCTAACACGGTTTGACATACATATTTCAGCAACACCTCAGCTTTTAATTAACAGTTCAAAATTAGGCAACTATGACCGAATTCTAGTGATTTAGATGCTCTTGAAGTTGAAACAGTTGCTCTCTTCGCTTAGTGAATGCTCCTACGGAGAGTCAGTAAATCTATCTTTCCAAAGTTTTGAGTTTTAGGTAACTTTATTGGTTAGGATTCGAATAATAATGATAAAAGTAAAACTGATAATCTAATTCGCATCTAAAGAATTAATCACATTATTTAGATCTTATATCAATATACTGGTACTCGTGTTATTCTACGGGAAAATTTAAACTGTTATTTCTTATACAAAACCTTGAAAAAGTTGGCAGTTTATTTTAAAACAATTTTCCTTTGTCGAATAGCGTATACTAGCCAGTTTCTCTTAGAAAGTGAATGAATAACTGCCTAATAGAATGAAGGTATTCATTCTATTAGGCAGTTAGCCGAAGTGATTTTTGGTAGACACTTTCTCCAATAGCAGTTCATTGCGCCATTTGTTCCCTTTCATTGGTTTTATTCTTTCGAGATGAGTGAGTTCATGTTAAAAGAATTCACGAGAGGCTGTCTGTTACATTTGTTCTAAACAAAAGCTCCTAAGATTTTTAAATATTGTGCACACAACTAATAAATTTTTTCTATTTGACAGAATTGTTATTGGTAAATTAAAGGATTTTTATTATGATTGCTGGAAAGAGAAATGGAACATTTCAGGAAAAAGGATTATTTGAACTTTGAAGTTCCTAAAAATATGAGATTTGATTACAATCAAATAATTACTGGACACGGGTGCTTCTTGGCGTACTTGAAAAGATTTGATTATCAAAATAATAGTCTTTGTAGTTTTTGTAGTGCTGAAGGCAACGCACGACATTTCGTCGAAGATTGCGTATTATTGCTACGTGCTAGGGATAAACTTGGTAACATAAAAGAATTCTATTACCAGAGGAAAGAGTTTAGATTTGCAAAGGATTTGATGAACTTCACAAGTGGCAATAGAACAAATATTGGGAAGTTTAATTTGATGATTTCAACTGCATTTTTGTTTTAATCTGCGTTGGGTGTGCTGCGTTAACCATGAGGTCGATTATTATCGGCCAGGAGGGTTGGTTGCTGCACACTCGTATATTACATTACCGTTGAAGAATCTCTTCACTATAATCAGATAAAGGTACACCCACATTTGACAATTTACTTTTGGCAACAGTAGAAGTTGAAGCACCTTGATATAATTGAAAACTAACACTTCAGTCGATTTTATTTTCTTCTTATTTCCATAATATCGCTTTTTGCGTTCTTTCCCTTTTAAACGTCTTGCCTCTTGTGCACTTTAGTGCCTCTTAGTGCACTTTTATTTTTAGACATTTTATATTTATTTTTGTGCAAATAAAATCAGTACACCCCTCCCTCAACAGCTGACCGTCGAGACCATAGAACTGAACGGTTTTATAACGTAACTCGTGCGCGAACACTTGTGACGTCATCAAAATATTATGCATGTTTTGCCTAATTCTGTCATTCTACTGTAGCTCTATCACAATTTAAATTCTCAAAAAAATTTTTTTAGTTCCGATGGGTGTTAGCCCAGAACGGCTGTTAGTCTCGAAACGGCATTTTGCGTCGAATCACTGTAAATGGCGTATCACTTTTCAAATTGTTGCCACCAAATGTTATCGCCCTGCATTATATTTTAAGAAATTGAATAATGAAGAATCTGCATGAATCTATGCATGTTTCACGCATTGTGGGAAAAAAAAAAAAAAAAAAAAAAAAGATACCTAGAGCCATCAAATTTTGAATAACGCAGTCTTGTAGCCGAATATGGGCACACTCGAATTTCGAAGCCCGAATTTTGAATTTGTTTTATTATCTATTTCATGCTTTTTAAACTTTAATAATTTCTGATTAAGAAATTCAACGATTTCAAAGCAAACAGTAGCAACACTACGGAATAAAATATTTTTATCTCCAGCGTGCTAGACTGTTTATCGAAAATTTTAAATATACTGTGTTTTTAAATATTGTTAGCGCAAAGGGGCATTAGCCAAAATACTCTCGAAACGTATATGTATGTATATGTAAATGGGGAGGGGGTGGAGAACCGCTCTTTTGGCATAATATAAAATCTGAAAGCTCTCAGATATTTTGTGTATTGTAATGGTCTCCTTTAACTGTCAAATAAGCCCTAAACAATAGCTTTTGAAGTCACTGAGATATAAGCATTTCTACTAAGACACGATTTGCATCTTACATTTTTTTTTTGTCCTTGAGACCGATCATCATAGAGGAACGCAGTCCGACGTTAAAACAAATCAAAATCACTGGCTCCATGTTTCGTAT